GGAGGGGAGGGGAGGAGGGAAGGGAAGGGGAAAGAGGGGGGAGGAAGGGGAGGAAGAAAGAGGGGGGAGGAAAGGGAGGAAGGAGGGGGAAGGAAGGGGAAGGAGGAGAGAAAGGGGGGAGGGAAGGGGAAGGAAGGGGAGGGAGGAGGGGGAGGGGAAAGGGAGGAAGGAGAGGGAGGGAAGGGAAAGAGAGGGGAGAGGAAAGGGGAAGGAGGGGGAAGGAGGAGAGAAAGGGGGGAGGGAAAGGGGAAGGAGGGGAGGAGGGGGAGCGGAAAGGGAGGAAGGAGGGGGAAGGAAAGAAAAGAGGGGGGAGGGAAAAAGAAAGGGGGGAAGAGGACGCACGCACACTAAAAGCACTTACACATACTCATGCACGCACACTAAAAGCACTTACACACACTCATGCACGCACACTAAAAGCACTTACACATACTCATGCACGCACACTAAAAGCACTTACACACACTCATGCACGCACACTAAAAGCACTTACACATACTCATGCACGCACACTAAAAGCACTTACACATACCCATGCACGCACACTAAAAGCACTTACACATACTCATGCACGCACACACTCAGAGGCATGTGTGTACTTTTCCTCTAGAGGAATTGCAGTGTGCAAGCGTGCGTGCGTGCGTGTGTGAATGCGCGCGTGTGTGTGCTTGTGTGTGTGTATGTATGTGTGTGTGTTTGTGTGTATGTATGTGTGTGTGCGTTTGTGTATGAGTGTGTGTGTGTGTGTGTGTGTGTGTGTGTCTGTGTGTGCTTGTGTGTGCGTATGCTTGTCTACGTGTTTGTGTCTGAGTGTGCATGCACGCGTGTATGTACTTGTGTGTCTTCACGTGTGTGTCTGCGTGTGTGCGTAAACATGAGTTGAAGGTCGCGGGAAGGGGACTGCTTGCCGCACGCAGGCATGCAGGTAATATGACCAATAAATATGTAGTCTATACTGACCCGGCGGCCGCCCCGCCCCCCGCGTCACCGGCTGCGGCAGGCGGCTGGCGAGTCGGGGGCTTCTTGTGGCGGCTTCCTGCGGCTTCCTGCGGCTTCCTGCGGCTTCCTCCGTGGTGGGGCTGGCTTCGGCGCGGCTTGGGACGCTGGGCCCGCTGGCCGGCTTGGGGACTTGCTGGCTTCGGGGTCTGGGTTCCGCCGTGTGCGCTGGTGTCGGTTTGGAATAGAAGTGCTTTGGTTTGCACACGAAGGCGAACATGGGGTACTCTGCGTGCACGCACACAGGCCTTCGTCTCTCTCTCTCTCTCTCTCTCTCTCTCTCTCTCTCTCTCTCTCTCTCTCTCTCTCTCTCTCTCTCTCTCTCTCTCTCTCTCTCTCTCTCTCTCTCTCTCTCTCTCTTCTCTCTCTCTCTCTCTCTCTCTCTCTCTCTCTCTCTCTCTCTCTCTCTCTCTCTCTCTCTCTCTCTCTCTCTCTCTCTCTCTCTCTCTCTCTCTTCTCTCTCTCTCCTCTCTCTCTCTCTCCTCTCTCTCTCTCTCTCTCTCTCTCTTCTCTCTCTTCCCTCTCTCTCTCTCTCTCTCTCTCTCTCTCTCTCTCTCTCTCTCTCTCTCTCTCTCTCTCTCTCTCTCTCTCTCTCTCTCTCTCTCTCTCTCTCTCTCTCTCTCTCTCTCTCTCTCTCTCTCTTTCTCTCTCTCTACCTCCCTCTCTCCCTCTCTCCCTCTCTCCCTCTCTCCCTCTCTCCCTCTCTCACCCTCTCTCTCTGTATTTATATATATATATATATATATATATATATATATATATATATATATATATATATATATATATACATACATTTTTTTTTTTTTCAACAGCCATTCATTCCACTGCAGGACATAGGCCTCTCTCAATTCACTATTGAGAGGTTATATGGCGGTGTCACCCTTGCCTGATTGAATGCCCTTCCTAATCAACCGCGGTTCGGCGCGCTAACACTTGTGCCACGGCGGTGACTTTCCCTACGACACCTACGTTTGACTTCTCAAGCCGATATGTCGTTTTCTCGGGCTCGAGTCAGCAGTCAGAGCGTAGGCTTTTTTTTTACAACTGCCGCGACGGGTAATTGAACCCGGGACCACGAGGGTCGGAGTCCAGTGCTCTAACCACTGAGCTATCGCGGCAGTTATACATACATATATGTATATATATATAATTTTGGGTAAATCAAACCTAGACACGGTAGTAGGTGAGTCCATCGGCGATATGATGGTGAGCTGAGAACCACCTGATTACCTAACCAACCAACCTAACCTAACCAACTTCCACACAGCTGCACATTAGACATTTACGACATTCAGATAGACAATAGTAGAGAGAGGAGTATAGTATATCACAGCCATGTCTCCACTCTGCCCTGGATAGGGCAGAGTGGAGGAGGAAGATCCGCACCGGCGACCCCAGTTGAACTGGGACAAAAGCCTGTAGAAGAAGAAGAAGAAGAAGAAGAGTCTCGAATTCACACAAGTCGCCTTTGTATCATAGTTCAAATAACTTCAATTTAATAAGTATGAGGAGAATAAACCACTTTTTTTGTAAAACTAAAGCTTCAAAAGATGTAGGCTCGGATCTCGAACGCAGATCACGTGACGCTGAAGGGTCGCACGTTATCGACGCCGAAGAGGCTCCCTTGGACGCCACGAATAAGCCTCGGACGGATGGAGGCGTGGAGGCCGTGGCACCGTCTGCGTCTCCGGGCTGGGACGTTTCGACGATCGCCGCGCCCTTCCGTGGCATCGAAGGCCTGAGGCGCAGAGCGAGGGCGCAGGCCTGTGTCGATGCGGGTATTCGACTGCTCGACCTCGGGCCTCTCCTGGAAGCCCGGATGCCGAGGCTGGGCGAAGGGCTGTTCGCCGAGGTGTTCGCCACGCGCTGCCCGGGCCTCCCGCCCTTGTGCGTCAAGAGCTTCAAGGACCATTTCACGATCGCCCCCTACAAGGAGGCGCAGACCCTGCACGCGCTGAGGGGCGTGCCCGGACTGCCTCGGCTGGTGGGCCTGTGCCCGGCGCCCCCCGCCCTGCTCATGACGCGGCACGGCGACACCACCCTGGCCTCTTGGATCGACAGCCACATGGCCCTGATCCCGTGCCTGGAGATCCTCCTCGACTTAGCCGGGATCCTGGAGGGCCTCCACAGTCAGGGATTCGCTCATAACGACCTCAAGGACGACAACGTGATGCTCGACTTCGAACTGGGTCAGGTTCGGGTGACCTTGATCGACTTGGGACTCGCGACCAAGTTCTGTCAGTGCCCGTTCATCTACAACCGAGGCAGGAGCCGCGATGCGCTGGAGAGCCAGAGGTCCGAGAATCACTTCCACTTGTCGCCCGAGCTGTTCCGAGGGGGACCTGCTGCTCCGAGCACGGACATCTACTCCTTCGGCGCCCTCGTGGAAATGTTGATGGAACAGCTGGAAGGGGAGGCGATCCCTGAGGTCAATCGCCTGATCCAAGAGTGCACGGACACGTGCCCTCAACGGCGGCCTTCGATTCAGGACGTCAAGAAGCGCCTGGCCCGCCTGCTCTGCGCCCGACGCGAAGGTGACCCTCGCGCCACAAGACTGCTTCGATAGAGAAACAAACAAGTGGAATGATGGACACGTCTATCTATCTGGTTATCCAATACACGATTACCCTTTGTGGCCTCCGCTGGTCGCGAGAGGCCGTGGGTTTGCGCCGCGAAGAGCTGTGGCGACCTGTTCCTCAGTCGGGCTGTGACAACAGAGACTGGGGCTTATACAATATATGTATAAGTATATATATATCTATATGTGTGTGTGTATGTGTGTGTGTGTGTGTGTGTGTGTGTGTGTGTGTGTGTGTGTGTGTGTGTGTGTGTGTGTGTGTGTGTGTGTGTGTGTGTGTGTTTATGTATCTCTCTCTCTCTCTCTCTCTCTCTCTCTCTCTCTCTCTCTCTCTCTCTCTCTCTCTCTTTCTCACTATATATATGTATATATATATATATATATATATATATATATATATATATATATATATATATATATATATATATATATATACACAACAGAGAGAAAGAGAGACATAGCTAAACACACACACACGCACACACATACACACAAAACCTACAAGATTACAAGCGGAGGAGAACAAGATGTTCTCAAGGCCAGACAAAGAAAACTCTGATCATCTTCCCGAATCATCCAAGACCAAACGTTGCAGATATTGCAGATATTGCAAGAACGTGACTCCCCACCAGAGCTATCGCTATGTCGCTTCTCATGAGGTTATGTTGAGGACCATGCGTTGTTTCGCCTCATAACTGTGTGTGTCTGAAAACGGGAACAGGTGGTGTGTGTTTGAGGGTAGGTAGGGGGGGGGAGTGAAGAGGGGGAGGGGGAAGGGGGTTAAGGAAGGGAAAAAAAGAAAAGGGAAGCGAAAGAGAAGAAAGAGAAATGAAAAGGGGGGAAGGGAGAGGAAGGGAAGAGAAAGGGAGGAAAGAGAAATAAAAGGGGGGAAGGGAGAGAAAGGGTGGAAAGAGAAATGAAAAGAGGAAAGGGAGAGGAATGGAGGGGAATGGGGAGGGAAAAAGAAGAAAGAGAAATGAAAAGGGGAAAGGAATGGAAGAGAAATGCAGGAAAGACAAATGAAAAAGGGAAAGGGAGAGGAATGGAGGGGGATGGGGAGGGAAAGAAAGGAGAGTCAAGCGTAAGAGAGGAAAGAGAAATGAAAAGGGGAAGGGAAAGAACTGAAGAGAAATAGAAGGGAAAGGAGAGGAAGGGAAGAGAAAAAGGGGAGGGAAAGTATAGGAATGGGAGGGAAAAGGGAAGAAAAAGAAAGGAATAAGGATAGGAGGAAAAAAGGGAAACGAAAGAAAGGGAAGAGAAATGAAAAATGAAAAAGAAAGAAAGGGAATGGGAAAAGGGAAAGAAAGAAAGGGAAAGGAAAAAGGGGAAGAGAAAGAGAGGAATAAGAATAGGAGGAAAAAAAGGAAAAGAAAGAAAGGAAAGAGAAATGAAAAATGAAAAAGAAAGAAAGGGAATGGGAAAAGGG